GGAAACGTGATCATAGGCACCCACTGTGTCGACGGACAGGATCGTTGCCCGAGGGTCGACTTCAGTTGCAGCTCTCAGGACTCGTGGCAATGCCTCAGCGCCGAGTGCTGAGGCCGTACTGGAACGGCAGACAGGCAGTTTCGAGTCGCAGCGCGAAAGCTTGCGCGAGCACCCGCCCCACTAGCCGTCGCAAAACGTCGCCTATCACCAGGGCGCGGATGCCGCGTCCATCCGGTTTTTGCAGAGCAACGATCCTGCCGACACGGATTGCTGCGAGAGCCGGGGCTGGCACATCGGCTTGCGCAAGGCGTTGCGCGGCGCAGTGCAGGAGCTGGCTATCGACCTCGTCGTCCAAGAGGATGCGGAGGTGCTCGTTGGTAGCTCCAGAGGGGCCAGCAGCAGCTCCACGCCGTGCTTTCCGCAGGCCGGCAAGGAAGGCAGGCAGCGGGAACGGGCAGGGCTCTTCGGGCTGGTAGTTGGTGACCTTGGGCGGCAGGGGACCGTACGGTTCGGGCGGGCGCCGCACGGGATCCCGGAGCTCGGCGAGAGTAGCGTCGGTGGCTGGTGCGAGGGGCTCTGCAGTAAGGGCGTGCCCTGCAGCAGACAGCTCACCGAAGTGTACTAAGGCTGCAGCACGGTGGGCTCTGGCTTCGATGTCTTGGGCGGCAGAGCGTGCGGCCGCGAGGTGTGGGGCCTCGGCGGTGCCGGCAGCAGCCTGAAGGAGAGTCAACCACTCTCCGCGTGCGAATGCCTCGCATCGCAGTGCCAGTTCCGCGGGGGGGATGCGCGCCTGACCCGCGGATCGGTGGAGAAGCATGCGCGGAGCAAGAAGGAAAAGTTTCCAGCCTCGGAGCTCGTGTAGCGGTGATGTTCGCTCCGAGATTAGCTCGAGCCCTGTCCGCATGGCCGTACGGAGGGCCCCGCGTAAGCGAGCGGGGACTCCTTGAAGGGTGAGAGTGCGGCAGCGGACGGCGTCCTCCAGGCAGACGTCATCTAAGGAAGTCAAGCCAATGTGCACGCCGTCTTCTGCCGCGGCGACTCGGCGTTGCGCGGCAGTGCCTTCTCGATTGAGGGTGGGGTCGTCCGCGACGGTGTTTTCTGCAGGCAGTGAAGCTGGACGGTTGGGATCCGCCAGCCGGCGTCCGCGTCCGCGTCCGCGTCCACCACGCCGGCCTCTGCCGCCAGCCCGGGATTCGGAAGCAGTCTGCGCGGCGAGCCGGGCTAAGCTGGCGTCGGCGTCAGCAGCTCGCGACGCGTCGGTATCTGGCAGACCGGAGTGCGTGTGGGCAGGCTCCGCAGGCTGCGCGACATCGGGTGGCGCAGAGCCGGCAGGTGGGTCTGGCAGCGCAGTGACGGCAGGATTCGCGTGGGAGGCATCTTGTGTACCTGGCCGTGCGGCGTCGGGGCCGGGCGCAGAGCCGGCTGGCGGGGCCGGCAGCGCAGCTGCACTAGGTAAGGATGGTGCTGCGGGTGCATCCGGCGGATGCGCGGCGCGTGGAGGCAGGGGGATGCTGTTTATGGCTCCATGTGGCAGTGCGCGCCACCCATCGATGACGTGGAGGACTTCTAAGGCGCGCCTCTCCCCCAACCAAACCAAAAGCAGTGCCTCCTGCACGAGCGCGGGGATGTAGTGACCAGACGCCTGGTTTGCGTACAAGTCGACTGCAGTATTGACGGAGATCAGCGGCCCTTGGCTCTCTGCCCCAGTCTAAGAGGGGTTGCAAGACCTGCTCGGTAGCCAAAAGGTGTTGCCCCCCGAGAATTAGTTGTTGGCCGACCGCAAGGATCTCCTGCACCGGCACATGGGTCGTTCGCGGAAGACGGCAAGAGCGGCTTGCCAGGCTTGGCCTAGCACAGGGTGTGCGGCCCACAGAGGCAACTGCGCTGGATCCAGGCGCCCGGCAGCTGCCAGGAGGAGCGGAACGTAGATGCGCGAATTAGTCGGCGCCGTAAGTGGCTGGAGCGGGGGGCCGAGCTCGTGGTAGGCAACACTCCGCACGGGCGCGACGCGGGAGGGTGCACGTGAGGAGGCGGCGGCAACAGGGCCACAACATACCCAGCCACTCTGATTCGTGTGAAGATCGACCTGCCAGTCCGCGAGACGGCCGCAGGAGGGGCACGAGGGAGCGTCTCCAGGAGGCGGGGCTTCGTGAGGCCTCAACTCTGCGTGGCACCGCATGCAAATCCAGCGTGCTTCCCAGCTTTCGATGCCGCCCGAGCCACCGGCAAGGGCGACCATTGCATAGAGCGATCCGGCAGCTCGGCAAAATCTAATGCCGGGCCGGCCAACCGGTGACAACACAGGGGCAAGACATGGGCTGGCGGGGACGGCTCACGGGCGTCCGCAGCGGAAAACGTGCGCGGCGCGTAATCGCCAACCACAGCACGGGTAGTGGGATCGTTGGGCAGGGACGGCGGCACGGCATCGACGCCGTGGCGGGTGCAGGCCGCGCGAAAATGCGCATCGCTGTGCAACGGCGCGAGCGGGCGGCGGCATGTGGGGCAGTAGCCGTGGTGGTGCAGGCATTCCACCAGGCAGCCCAAGTGCACCGCTGCAGCGCAGCACGGAAAGTCGTGGGCGGCCTGCGGTCCCGGAGCGCCTGGGCGAACGTCTTCGAGGCAGAGCGGGCAAATGGGTGCAGTCGCAGCGGGGTGGGCGGTGGGCGCCAAAGGTGTACGGTCCCCTGCAGACAAGCCGGGTGAAGGGCTCTCGGGGACGGTCAGGGGGGAAGGGGGAGCGGAGGGTGGTGACAGAGTGCGGCGCGACATGGCAACAGCGACAAGCAAAGACTGTCCTGGTTTCGCAATGGCACTGATCTGTATCCGCACCAGTTCGGCGTCAAAAGGCCGGTGTAAGTGCAGTGGCCAACGAATGCCAGGCTCGGCAAACGCAGGGGCCAGCTGAGTGCAAAGGGGCAAAAGGAAAACTGAGCTGCGAGCTCAGGCTTAAAGCAGAAAAAAACTATGATACAGAGGGCACAGCCAGCAGCAGCGGGGCAAGCCTATTGCGGCAGCCTCGCAAAGCCGGACTGAAAGTGTGTGCAAAAGTGGCAGCCACCTCAAGGCCTCGTCCGGTCCTGGCGGCGCAAAAGTAGCAAAACTAGAGAAATGAAGGGCCTTGACAAAGTTCGCAGAAGAAGCTAGCAGCGCGGCAGGCCTTCTGTGGCAGCCGCGCAAGCGAGCAGGACAAGGGCCGGCAGTCGTGAAAAAACCTGGGCCTCACCAGCGTGAGCGCAGCAGCCAGCCTGCAAGGAGTACGGCAAAGTGTGCTGGCGAGGGAGCAGGAAGAAGGAAAAACTGAGGTGGCGGACGGCAGCGGCGGTCCGCAGAGCCAGTCCTAGCAGCAATGCAGAAGTGAGCAGCGGCTGGCCGCAAAGCTCTTTCACAACTCAATCTAGAAGCCGGGCCTGAGGCAAGGTGCTCAAGGGTGGCCGGCGGCCCGTTTCTTTTTCGCCCTGTTCCAGTTTTTGCCTCCGCGCTGGTGGCCCGGTGCACGCGGCTTGGGCTGGTCAGGTGCACGCGCCAACGCCTGGCGGCCGGCTAGGCGCGTCGGCCCCGCGCGAGGTGTAGGGGCGGAGGTGAGGCGGGCGCGCCGCGCCGGCGGTGGTGGGGGTGGCGGTGGGCGCGGTGCAGCAGGCGCGACTTGCGGCCCAGCAGGCGACTCTGGCTCCGGTCGCAGCACCCCCCCCGCAGCGAGAACGGCAGCCACAAGCAGCAGCAGGAACTCCTGCTCGAGAACCCCTGCCAGCTTCAGGCCAGCAAGCTCGAGTTCAACCTTGGGCATGCAACTACCCTCCCGGCTACGCGCCCCTCCTAGCAGCAACCCCCCAGCTGCGTGCAAAACACGCCCAGGAGCGATTGCAGTGGCCCCCCAGCTGCACACGGCGGTGCCCAGGAGCGGCCCAAGTACGGAGGGGGGGTGCTACGCTCCCGACCTTGAGCCAAAATGGCTTGGCATTTCCTGGCTAATCTTTAGCCTTGCGCGGCTCCATGCACTTCAATAGTGTACTTGCATGAATCTTGTCTGTCATATGGCTATTGAACAAACGCATCGACCAAACACCCAAACATCCGAGTCGCTGTCGCTTTCGAATTCCATATGCCTCATTTGCAAACCACGTTCACATGGCTCCGGCTATAGGCCACACGGCCGCAGCCAGGCCAAACATCGCCAAACGATCTCTTTTGCATCGAGTCACATTCGTGTGTTGCTCACGCCTGCTTTCGTAGGCTTGATGTTGGCCGTGCGGACAACTTTCGCACCCTTGATGTTCACAGCCACTTTCTGCTTGCTGCCTGGGTGCATATTCCGCTCGGTCTACCCGCATCCCACAACAAACAAACCCTAAACCCTGCTTACACCGTAAACGCTTGTTTCTGTGCCAAGGGGCGACCACTGAGCTTACTAGGCTTGGTGTTCTCAGCCTTGTCAGTCTCATGCGTCTTACCACAGCTTCAGAGTTTCAGGGACACAGAAACAAAGTAGAGCCAACGTACTGGCCCAGCAACCCCGGTCTCTTCCAGTCGCTGTCCTGCAAAGCACCACCGTTGGCCATGAAGCAGCATAAGCAGGCACCATCGAACCCCAAAACCAGCTCCCGAAAAGTCCGAAACATGGCACTGCTCAGTGTACCATCTCTGAAATGGTAGCCGCATTACCAAATCCTCGCATCCCCGACCTTGCATGCCATCCCGGCAGCGGTGGCCTGGCTTGGAATCCTTCTTGTTGGCTTTCCTTTCGGCTCGCCGCTCATGTGCCGCAGAGCCTGCAGCATACCTGTCATGATCTGCTCCGTGAAATCATAACAGCAATAGCAAAATCCGAGACCCTAACACCCCAAATTGATCAGAACCGAGAAGGCTACACTGTTTGGGTTGACGACAGCTTTGCTTCTCTCGATGTTCAGCAGCATCCACAGCAAAATCCTGCGTGCTGCTGGAAGCAGTACTACCCGGTTATACAAATTTAACCTGGAACGTAGATGTAATTCATGCTCAAATCTGACCCCTTTCGGTCTGGTCACTTGCTCCATGGCCGAGCAATGTTTCCAGAGCCCGGCGAATACGCGATTTCAACACCTCGGAGCAAGTGTGGTAGAGCCGATAAGGCTTACCTCGGAAATCCGGGTTTCAGGAAAAGAGAAGGATAATTGGGCATACATATCTGCAACTTCCCTTTTGGATTTTTAGGATGCCACCTTTCAGTACTCCTATCAGTTGTACCTGGGTACCCACACGCAACGACCGAGACACCCCATCTCAAACCAAGGAGCTGATCTTCGACGTATCGAAGAAGCTGCGATTTAACTGCTTCACTGCGGCTTGGGCATCGCTTTCGTTCCTTGTGCTGACATTCCCATTAGCAGCTTCATTAGCAGCCCCACCCTCGCAGCTGCATCTTGCCTTTAGGAAGCACGTGCCAGGCGACTGCCATGTGTTTCGCTCCAGATCGCAGCAACACGCAACATCGATCGAGCAACTAGAACGAAGCTCACCAACCTGAACATCATCTACACCCAATCTGACAATCTATCATCTTGCAGACAACGTGCCGAAAGCCCACAAAAGCAAACTGTCGCGAACGACCGTCTTTCAGCTTCCTGCGAGTGCTGGCGTGCTGCCACCAACACAGTTTATAGTTAGTTCACTAAGGTTCTCCAGGACGTTGTTGTGCACTCTTGTGCATTTCATTGCCCAATGCTCTTATCACGTTTTGCTGACGCATTGGCAACGTTGCTCGAAGTCGGAATCAAAGTGTGCTGACTTCGAGCAAGGTGCTGGATTCGGCAGTCCGTGATCTCGCCAACTGCAGCAAACAATTCTCGCAAACGTCCATCTGTAGCATGTTTCGGCAGATTCTTCACGATGATGCGCGAAGCCATGGCTCATATGGGCGATTTGACATACCACACACCACAACAACTGCTTAAAATGCTTGCTCCGCATGTCATAGACGGACACAATAGCTTTGTTCTTGCTTTCCAACGCTTGCAGAAGAATGTCGTATGTGTGTTCGGACCGTGAGCATTGGAAAGCCAAGCTGCTACCACAGCAGCAGCCAGACTGCCAAGCTTGAGCATTCGTACCCTTATTCGGTGTTGCTTGCTGCGAATTGATCACGCCGGACACGCACATCGTGCAAAATCAGTTTGTTGACTTTTAAAAGGAAACCAATCATTGTGTTGTGACGGCGCAATGATGCGGGATAGGAGTGGTCCAAGCAATGGCGACACACGGGCTATCACACAAATATCGTGCGGACGTGACCGGGAGTGCGACCAAGCACGTGCACAGCGAAAGCTGGAACGGTGGCACGGACGGACCCTGTGGACTCACGATCATCGTAGTTCAGTGTTTGCACTGTCCCATGCCCACACCCCAAGAATCACGAAAAAGACCTCGAACGGCACACCACTCGGCCGAAAGGGCTGCACGTCCTGCGAGCGCAAACCTGGGGCATGCGAACGCAGCAACAGCTGCAACCAGCACAGGTTGTCCCACCTTGGCAAAATGAAGCTGACAGCGGTGCGGTGGCAGCTTCGCAACTCAGGCGGTACAAACAAGAAAAACTGCCGAACACGCAAGCATTTTACCCGTAGCACTAAATGTCTTGAACTTTTTGTTTTCTTGCGAGAGGGTGCCCTGCGGCCCCCGTGCACATAGCTGCGATCTACGGGCGGCAAACATCGAAAGTATCACACAAAGCATGCTATGCTTCGAGCAAGCACGCAATAGTGAGCTCCTCGTGCAGTTGGTCGCCGGGCAGCACGAGGCTCGCAATCAGCTGGAAAATCATGGAGCGAAGCAGGACACGGCGACTTCCGACATGCCGCAACGCTGCACCCAACCTCTCCACCCACTGGTCTCGATTTCGAACACAAGAAGACTAGTGGCCTGCATGCCGTGTTAGAAAGGCACTCCGCCGCGTACAGTCGGTCAACCGTGAAAGGGCTGACAAGGCAACCCGAAACCCCGCCCAGCGAAGGCAGCGGCACAGCTGCAGGAGGCCAGGTTCCCATTGCCGTTGTGGGACAAACTTGCGATGGCGGCGCCGGGCTCCTGCGTTTGTTGAGCGAGCCCATGCCCCGAAGCAGGGCCACGAGTAGAACCTAACGTCCTCTTATATGACTACTGACGTAGCCCGGGCTGACGGCCGCCGCATCAAGGTCTCCACAACAAATTCCAGCCGGCCGTAGACACCACACTGGTGTCACGAGTATTCTGCTGGCAGATGCTCGTGACGCCGAGACCGTGCCCACGAGCCGTGTTCCCACCCGAAAACACTCGCCCCTTTCGTGCTGAACAGGCCGCGTGCTGTCCACTTTGCTGTGTGATGGCCATGCCTAGCCGCAGAACAACCGTGAAACACAGTAACACCAACCAACAGACAATCGAAGCATACGACAAAACACGTATGTTAAATGCCACGCTCAGGGATACAATGGATCCAGGACCTAAGTCCAAATTCAAGTCTCACACGCCAACGCATCGCGGCATATGGTGGCAACAAACAAGCCATTTTGGCTCAAGATCGATTGGGCTCAAGCGTGCAACTCTAGACGAGCTGGGCACACGTCCCTGTGTTGGGGGGGGAGTCCGGGGCCATGCCGCTGTCTGAAGAGCAAAACAAGCTCCTCAAAACTAGTGACACAGCCATATCTTTCCGAGCCGAGTACCCAAAGAAACCGGGGTCCAAAGCTTGGGAACGTTTTGAAAAATACAAGACAGCGAAAACGATCGGTGAAGCTACCAATTTGGGCGCGCAGTGGCAAGACATCAGTGCCGACTTCGAAAAGGAATTCCTCACATTCGCTGATGTGGACATGCCGGTGATTTCAGAAAGATCAGCGCCACAGGGTAGCCCGGATAAGGAAGCAAAGGCTAGATCCCGACACAAGCTTGCACAGGTACATGAAGGAGCACTCAGCACGCATGCGCGCTGGGCTGAAGCAGTAAAAACGGAAGTACGGCTCGCGCCGATTCGATGGCCTCCCTGGCGTGTCGAGGAAGGGCTGGCAAAAGTGAGCCAGCGGCTACCTCCTGCAGATAGAAGCTCAATGTCGCCTGATGCGCCAGGCGCATACGCCATTGCAAATCAGAAATCCCCACACCAGATTGGTACGCAGCAACTGCTCCCCCTCCCCGGGAAAGAAAAGTCTGGGGAATCCCCAGAGCAGCTAGAAGTGCGTCCCAGCGACGTCGATAAACCGCGGGGGATCCGAAGTAAAGCTTTGACTGGCGCGGCAAACAGCGACAAGTTTTGCAGATGAAGTAGCACTTATACCCTGGAGGCTGTTAACTACATTTGTTCGCCCGAAGGGCTCAAAAGGTTAGGGTTCGGGAAGAGGGATTAAGGAGGGAAGCAAGCGCAAACGGTTCGAGATGTTTTGGTCCGCACAGCCACACACGTCTTGCACAACAGAAGTCTCTTGAAGGGACGATGTCGAAGGCATCAATCCCCCATTTCGTGTCTGGACTGTTTGACAGACCTCACGAGAAACAAAATACAGGGTGGGATGGGTGGGTAACTAAAAGAAAACTCTAACTTATTCTTTATCCCAAAATCAAGCATGCATCACAACATCGAGTTACGAACTCGCATGTTGAAAAAACTGAAAGTATAATCAGTCAACTTCAAAAAGAGGGCGTCCAATCAAATATATTTCAACATATATATACATAACAAAGGACAGTAGCTCGCTCACTCAGACGCGC